TCACATGTTGTTGGAGGCTTAAGCTCTTTCTATTTTGTGATGGTGTAACATCACGGTGAAGATCTTTGTGTGTCAAGTGTGGTCTTCATCTCTGGTTGTTTCCTTGGGAGAATCCCCAAGGAACTGTGGTGTCAAAGAGCATGGACTTTTTAAAGGCTTGCCAAATTGCTTTCTAGAAAGACTCTCATGAGCCACATGAGTACCTTTCAGACACAAGAAAAATGTGTTCATTATTTAGAATGTGTATAGAGAGGTCTTAGGAATAACAGTCTTTTCTGAAAAGCAGCGATACTACTCAGTATCAGAGGTCTCTTTTATCTGAAGATATCAAAGTACTTCTTTTTAAACAATGTTTTCTTATGTTCACATATACAGGAAGGCTTACAAATGTGTAGCAAAAGGGCATATGCTCAGGCACTTCTCCAAACTAGGAGCAATGCCAAGGAAGACTAGACCCTGTTCAGTCTTTGCAGAGGGCTCGCTGTCCCCGGTCCCCTCTCTCAGTAACTAATTCTGATGTGGGAAAGTCCCACCTGCTCTTGACTGTTGACTCTGCTGGTGAGTTCCTACCAACTGGGGTTTCTAAGCTGGAGGAATGATGCTCACTCCTTTGTTCAGATGCTTTCCCACAAGCCATTATTTGTAAGGGCAGCAAATGATGGCATTCTTATCAACAGCTATGGAATGCTAGTAGACTTTAGTCTTTGAGACATTTTCGGATTGAATCATCTGACTCTACTCATATCAGAGAGAGCACCTGGTCAGGTCCCAGACTGTAGCTAGTAACTGTCACTTGCCCGTTGGCCTTAATTAGGAGTTGTACCTGCCAAAGTACCTGAGCAGCTATTTCTACTTACACAGCACCTGAACTGGGTGCTAACCTGTGGCTTTGGAGATAGCCGTCATTGGGGCTAACATTTACTGAGTGCTCACTAGGTGCCAGGCACTGGGCTCCACGTAATTATCTTAGTCTCTCATTAAGCATATCCAGTAGGTACTGTTAATAACCTCAGTTGACCGATGAGAAAACGGAGGCTCCAAGATGTCAAGTAACTTGGCCAATATCTCACGGCTAGTAAGCAGTGGAGCCTAGCTACATTCACCAGGATCAGCTACGTAATGTGTAGGGCCCAGCGCAAAATGAAAATGCGGTCCCTTGCTAAAAAATGGTTAAGAACGTCAAAATGGCAACAGCAGCTCAATAAACCAAGCATGGGGCCCTTCTTAGTGTGGGTGCACAGATTTCACCCCCAGAAAGCCGGTTTAGCACACATAGACATTCTGGGTCTAGAACACACACTCTTAACCAGATAACAGGGTTGAACGGCGCATGGTTTGGCAAAGATCTGACTTTGGCATGTAAATAGCAAATGGAAGTGTTACACATGAGCTACTCAGGCAGCCTCCTTTAAACACCAGCTTTCTCTTCAAAAAGGGCCTGGAACTGTTTTCTGGCCAAAGGTAAACACAGTGAAGCCCTGCCTTGGTCCTTCTCATTCATAACAGACACTTCTTGCCGGGCTGGTCTTCTCTGGCCAGAAGTCACTCTTTCGACTTCTTTTGCTTTCCTTAAACCAGTTCTCATGTTCTAGGCTAGTTCTCCCTGACCAATTGCCTTTCTCGCTGCCACATCACCTCATTTCATTTCCCAGTGTTGCTGCCCCTAGCCGCGCCGAGAGATGCCCACACCCCAAATGCAACGGTGGGCCCATCCAACTCATGGATCCAGCCCCACTGGTGGTACAGACATTCTGTTCCTTGGCCTGGCACTGTGGGAGAACAGCGGAGTTTCCAGACGGAAGACAGGAACCAACCATCTGTTTTCTCCTGGGGCTTAGTTTTCCCGGAGAAATATTGCTCAGAAGTGATTCCTTCCTACAGAAAACCCCGGGCAAGATAGATGATAATTGCTAATACTTACCAAGTATTGCATCATGATTTGTGTCATGATTTATATGTATTTAATCTCCACAGGCAACTCATACTTCGCATGTAACCCATTCCATCTTTTTTTTTTTTTAACAAAAGATTTATTTGTGTGTTTTTTTTGGGGGGGGAGGGGTAGAGGGAGAGGGAGAGAGAGAATCCCAAGCAGACTCCATACTGATCGCGGAGCCTGACGTGGTGGGACTTGATTCCATGACCCTGAGTTCACGACCTGAGCTGAAACCAAGAGTCGGCGCCTAACCGACTGAGCCACCCAGGCGCTCCTCATTTCATCTTTAATAGCAAAAGGCAGGTGCTATCTTTAGCCCCATGTCAGAGGAGGAGAGTGAGGCAGAAAGGTTAGGGAAATCCTCAAGATCTGAGAGTCAGGAAGTGGAAGCGTCAGAACAGGAAGCCCTGCAGTCTCCAGTCTTGAGCCTATGTGACCACCACCCCCTCCTTCAAAGTTCTGCCAAGGATCCTGGATGGATGGGCAGAGCAGTCTAACAGTCTCGGTAAAGTACAGCCAAATATCCAGGCATGTGGCCCTCCCATTGCCTCAGAGCAAAGCTCCAAAATGTTAAAAGTCTAGAATGACAGTGTTGAAAGGGTTCCACTGGGACAGCTTTTCCATATAGTTCATCAGAGGCAAGGGACACACACACACATACACACACATGTACACACACACACAATGCACAAACACAGCGTTACTCAAGAATGGCAATTACCTTATGCCCAGTATGAAATAATGGCCTTAAACATATTTAAAGGTTTATTTGAATTTTACTTCACTGGTGTCCTTACCCAAGAGCTTTGCTTTAACTTTATCTTAGTGTTCTAGTCTGTGAAACACTGACTAAATAAGGAGCCAATTGTAGTAATAATACTGCTAGTAGTAATACTGCTTTGCATTCGTATGGTCCTTTACAGTTCACTGATTTTTCCACATGATCCTCAAACCCCTCTAAGGCTGGGATCTGTGGAGGTTAAGTGACTCTGGGGACAACCAGGTAGAATGAGGTGGAATTGGATCTGGACCCTCTGTCTTCTCTCTTCTTTGTCATGCCCCTTGGATGATACCAGGAAATTCCCTGAACACAGTCCTTACCCAGGCAGTGGGGCAGGTCCTCACCAAAAGCTGGGGGAAGAGTGTGCACCTCTTGTTGGGGCTAATGAGATGCCTATTCAGCAATTTGTTTGCCTGTGCTGTGTCTACAACATGTTTCCTTCTGAGATATTGAGACGAAAAGAGAACCTACCTTCCCTGACAGTGATCGGTCAACTCTGAGAAAGTCAAGCAAGAGTCATAGATGTTTCCATAGGTCCCCATCGACCTGAGTGAAGTGAAGCTGTGTAGGCACATTTATTCCCTTTTCAGTGTCAATCAGATTATTCTAGAGGGCAACACTTAGAAAAAAAATTTTTTTTTTAAAGATGTTATTCATTCGAGAGAGAGAGAGAGGGAGAGTGAGCAAGAGCAGGGGAGGGTGCAAGGGAGAGGGAGAAGCAGATTCCCTGCTGAGCAGGGAGGCTGACATGGGGCTCGATCCCAGGACCTTGGGATCATGACCTGAGCCAAAAGCAGACGCTTAACTGACGGAGCCACCCAGGCGCCCCTAGAAAAATGGTTTTGTCCAAGTTCCTGAAAGCACCTGAAAAAAGTTCCAAGAGTCTCTTTTGCACAATTAAGTGAAAAGGGTGCTGAGTAAAAGGAATGTAAGATGAGGAAGGCCTGCCTGAACACTCATTTGAGAAATGGAAACTGGAATTTAGATAATTCCTGATAAAAGGTTTGAATGATTCTGACAAGAAAATTGAAAAGGAAAATAGCCAGGTGACTCATCACCCAAAATCAGACAGCAGCAGCGAGAGTTTTCCAGGCTCATCGGAGGTTCGGGATGGGGCAGCATCGACCTTGGCCTTGGCTGTGCCGCATCCCTAACATGCTCACAGCCTTGAACCCAGTAACTCACTCATCTCATGGATTTAGAAACAGGCCCCACCTGAGTTACCCTAATATGGGAGAACAGTTGGGTGACTGTCCAGATGCTAGTTAGCATAACATTGCAGTACTCATTGACATGAAACTGGATATCAAGCAATTTAGATTCTCATCTCTCTCTATATCATGCCAATACCATAGCCTTTTTTTCCCAGCACCACTTCCGTTAGCCCCATCCATATAGAGGAAGCCCAGTGCTCACTATACAGAAGTTACTTACATAATTGCAGAATTCTTAAGAATGCAGATGTTGGTGTTTTCAAGCACTATTTGAAATACATATTATAGACATGGCTATAAAAAGATTCTTTTATATTCACACATCCATTCCACCAATAAACATATATTTAGCGCCTGATAGCCCTTGATGAAAGAAGTGGGTGGGAAGAGAGGCATGACCCAGACATGATGAAAGTTCCCAGTAAAGAGAAAAAGAGCCAAGTAGAGCTAAACATCACTGTCAATGCAGGAAGAGGCACTGTTTTCCTTCCCTGTTCTTCTGTTTTCAGGCTTCTCAGGGCTGTATGATCCATGAGTCCTTTCTGAATTTGTGCTAGACCACATATCCTGCCTAATGCGGAGCACCCATCACCCTATAGAGCCAAATGTTGAAGACAGCCAGTCTGTCAAGTGGAGGGGATGCTCGTGGGAAGAGACTGTAAAGAAGCTCTTTTCCAATCTAAAAAGGGCAATGGTGAATGCTCCTTGGATCTTCAGGTCTCCCTGAACCCCTGAACCAAGATATTTGGTGTTTCTGAAATGGATGATACTTGTTTTCATCAGCAGTGCAATTCTGGGTGACTACGAATTTCCTAAAATGTAATCTAATTAAACACATTAAGATCCAGGAAGGCTGGATCTCCTTAAAACTGTTTCCAGGGAGAGAAGGGAGAGAAGTAATGGAACAATGTTCTGAATGTTAGATTTTTGATGATGCTCTGCTCCCGGAAGCTCGTGAAGTGGGGGAGCACAGAAACCCTTCAAGAAATCTGTGGATTCTTTTGTTCAGCTCTCTGATTTCTCTACCACCTCACCACTCTCCCTTTCTCTTTTTACTGTTTCTCACCAGGGTATGGGAATATTGCTCCAAGCACTGAAGGAGGCAAAATCTTTTGTATTTTATATGCCATCTTTGGAATTCCGCTCTTTGGTTTCTTATTAGCTGGAATTGGAGACCAACTTGGAACCATTTTTGGGAAGAGCATTGCAAGAGTGGAGAAGGTCTTTCGAGTGAGTACTGCATCTATTTAAACCCTAAACTCTGCGATCCAACTGGCTTTTTAGCCTGATGGGATCCAGAAGGAATGATTACGGTGTTATCATATCATTGTCACTTTTAACGGAAGAGTTTAATGTTATAATTATATTTTCTGTTTTGGCCAATGGTAGTCACAAGTACTGTGCCTAAACTTCTCTTTATCAGTTTCCTTATTTACAGTGGTATTTCTGGAATCACAACACAAGAGGGTTAAGTATAGGTGCACCAAAACAAGGTTTTCTAAAGATGGGAGGCATATTCAGTTCCATCTTAAAGGCGGAAGATGGGTTTCTAAGTGTATTTGCAATAAAGTAGAGAAGTAAATCCATTTGTTTTGTTATTGGAAATTCTTCACTCCTTTTTATTTCCAAGTCCGGGGTCTTTAGGCTGATCCTGGCTTCTAGGACCTCTTCCAGAAGCATGCGTTTTCCAGATACTGCGTCGTGCTTTGTATCCATCTCTTCATGGCCCCACCCTCTCTGTCGTCTCACTTCTGAGTGCTCTCTCAGCAATAGTACACTGATGTACTAATTTATACTAAGGTGTTGATGATTGCCAATATCTTAGTGGGTTTTTTTCTTCCTGAGAATACTTGCCTTTAACCAAGGGACAAAAACTCAACTCAAGGAATTTATTTACTAAAGGTGGCATTCCTGTCCTCAGCGACAGGTTGTGGAGCAGATGTGATTGGCTTGGGGTTCTCAATGCCCTTTAACTAACACTTACTCATATGATCTCACAGAAAGCTTGTTTGACTCAGGTGTAACATCATTTCTGCTCTCTTTTTCATTATTGACCTAGTTCTCGAGTCTTTCAAACCTTCTTCAGGGAGTTGTTTCTGATGATGACTTAATTTTTAAAAATGACAATTTGAGACCGTTTCAGAATCTGGCAATGATGGGCAAAGATAGATCAGTGGTGAGTTCTAATGTGCACTTGTTTTTCTCTCTGAGACAAGAAATCACGACTTCTCTTTAGAAAAAGACAGGGGACCTCCCCAGGTGAGCGGTTTCAGGTTTGTGAGCTTGGGAGAATGGAGCAGGAGAACTAGCTTAGAGCTGCCTTTTATGAGCTCAGTGATCCTGGGTGAGCGGCCTCAGTTTACTCATCGGTGAGAAAGAGGAGGGTAGAATTCGAATCCACTTTAGAAGGTTTTGGTGATGATTAAATGAAATAATGTGTGGAAGAGAGCTTGGCACAGGGCCAGATATATAGAGTTCATTCAGATCTGCTGTGTATCTGTCTCCCAAAAAAAGCCCTTATTAGCAGCCTAGCCACCCATTCAGATTTCAGTTGAGGAGCTCAGCGGCGCGTGGATGTTCCTCGAATGTCCCCCAACCTTTGCTCCCAGGTGCTGGCTTGCCCAGCTGGCTCATTAGAGCATGCACTTGGGCTCAGTGGTCACCATGGAAACCGTCAGAGCTCAACTTCTCTGCTTCTCAGATGTTTAGGTTTCCCTAAACCAGACATGGCAAGGCTCCATCTCCAAACCCGTCTCCAAGAGCTGCTTTGAGCTTCTCGGAGGTGCCCTGTTAGCCAGGGCCTCATGGCCCTCCAAGGTAGAGAGGATTGAACACTCAGAAGAACAGGATTCAGATGGAAAAATGACTGCTCCAGCATTTTTAATTTTATGTAGCTGCTCTAGATCTCAGTTTCCTTATTTGTAGAAAGAAAGGGTTGCACTAAAAGCTTTTGAAGTACCCCTTTTAGGAAAAAAAAAATTAGTTACTATATTCTAAATGAAGGAAGAGATTGCAGTCATTGTGACCACATCTGCTACTGAATTTGGGGACTTAGTTTCCCCTAATGAATTTCAAACTAATTTTAAGGGAAGGAGTACTCATCTCCTTCCCTTAAAGCTGCCTCTCAGATGGATGGTTCAAAGGACTCTGGGACAGAGCCTTAAAAACCTTGCATTTCATTTTTATGCTGATGGCGCACTCAATTCCTTGCAGCGCCATCAAAGACTGGGAGTTTTTTGGGAAGGAAATAGCAGTATATTATCAAATTGGCAGCCTGCGATGTATGCATTTGCAGAGCATTGGAGGAGGGTGCTGTTGGAAGGAGTGACTGAGTTCCAGGAGGAGTAGAAGCGCACTTCCTGAATACACAAACAACCCATCTGCACTTCACTGGCTGCCTGTAGTTTTGGTGGAAAATCTCAAAGCGCTTTGCCATTCATTTAAACGACATCTCAAAGGCCAGCTACTCTTAGGTGATTACTTGAAAATTGAAAATTTTATAAACCAACGAAATTGGGGGTTATGGATTTTTAGTTCCTGTGGGGAAGGTACATTTTTTTCCCCCACCCATTCAAGGATTAAGTCTTTTTCTTCATCTGCTGTGTTTTCTCTCCTCTGTAGGGAAGAGACGATTTTTAATGTAAAGATAAAATATAAAATAAGCCTTCTGGATGCCTGTGTTCTGAGGTGACATGATTTGGGTCTTTCTACCACATCCCAGCTCTGAGCCTCATTTTAAAGAGTTGCTGGAGGTTAATGTATTATTTAGGGATGCTTTTGGCTGCAGAGTAATACAATATCTGCCTATTGGGGTTTATATTGGATGAATAAATAAAACCTTTTTTCCCTTCCCTTTTTTCCCCTTCTGAAATCAGAAATAATTGAGAAATACACATGGGAGTCAGATGAAGATTAAGATGTCAGCTTTATTGCTGATAAGCTGATCAGAGGATGTAGTTTTTTTTTTTTTAAGATTTTATTTATTCGTTTGAGAGAGAGAGAGAGTGAGCATAAGTGGAGGTACAGAGAGAGACGAAGAAGCAGACTGAGAAAGGAGCAGGAAGCCTGATGCAGGGCTCCATCCCAGGACCCAGAGATCATGACCTGAGGTGAAGGCAGATGCTTAACTGACCGAGCCACCCAGGTGCCTTGTAGCTTTGGTTTTGATGCTAAAAAGACTTATTAACGACTTCCCCCTCAATCAGAAGGACTTCCCCGCTGTATTAGTTTTCTAATGATGTGTAACAGATTATCACAAGTGCAGAAGCTTAAAACAACATCCATTTATTGTATCACAGTTCTCTAGGTCAGAAGTCCGGGTGGGCTTGTCTGGGTGCTATGTTCAGCATAGCATGGGGCTGAAATGAAGGTGTGGGCTGGGTTGGGCTCTGGATCTGGGGAAGAATCTGCTTCCAAACTCATTCAGATTTTGGCAAAAATCAGTTGCCACTGGTCATAGGACTGACTGAGATTCCTGTGTCCTTGCCAGTTGTCAGGTGGAGGTCATCCATGCTCAGCTTCTAGGAGATGTCTGAATTCCTTGGCACATGGCCCCTCCATCTTTAAAGCCAACATGGAATTCTTCTGGTGTTTTGTATCTCTCGGACTTCCCTTTGTTCCTCTGCCACCAGCCTGAGAAAGTGCCCTGCTTTTAAGGGCTCATGTGATTTGATTAGGCTCACATGGATAATTTCCATATCTTAAGGTCAACTCTGCCATATGATGTATCATAGTCGTGGGAGTGATAGCTCGTTATAGCAGAGGTCCTGGGGATTAGGGTGGGATATTTTCATGGGCCATTTTCGAAATTCCATCTCTTCTAGTCATTGGCAGCACAGGCCCTCTCAATGAGAGCAGGGTCAGCCCCACTAACCTTGCTAAATCATAGAGAGAAAATCAAAGTATACCTCTATGTAGCAGATGGTTTCAGATAGGATAAGCAGGGGGCTGAGGTGAAGGAGCTCAGTCCCTTCCGCTAAGTCTGCCTGTAAGTCACTTGTCTGATTGAGCAGCCAGAGTGAGACTCTGGCTGAAGTCCTTCCACATGGAACATGAGGCCAGGAAAATGGACATTGCCCCAACACTGATTAACCATGGGTTAAAAGTTCAACACTTACTTATCTCGCATAACAAGAAGCCTGGAGGAAGGTTGTTTCAGGTTTGGTGTATCAGTTCCCCAGTGAGAAGTTCAGGATTGTGGTACCAATTCTGATGTGTAGATTTTTTCCTCCTACACCACCAAGCAATTCTTTGATGCCAGCTGGATGCTCTACAGTTCAACTCAATTCTGACTCTATCTACCTGGAGATAGCATCAGATACCATAAGTTAAGGGCTCAGTCCCAAGATGGCCCTTCGCTTCAGATGCCAGCCTTGAGTCCAGGTTTTTCCCTATGCTTCTGACCATATGGCTGTCGATCACAGGTTCCCATGACCTGCTCCTTGGGTTCAATAAATCTGTTAGAATGGTTCACAGAACTCAGGAAACCAGTTTACTCACTAGATTACAAGTTTATTCTGAAGGATTGTAGAGGATATAAGTCAACAGCCAGATGAGAACATGCGTGGGAGGTCCTGGATAAAGGAGCTTCTGTCCCTGTGGAAGTTGGGGCCTGGCACAGTAGTACATAGTTCCAGGTTCACCAACCTGGAAGCTCCTTGAATCCCCTCCTTTTTGGTTTTTATGGAGGCTTCATTACATAGGCATGATTGATTCAATCATTGGCCATTGATGATTGATTCAACCTCTAGCCCTTCCCCGCTCCTCAGAAATCAGGGTGTGGGATTGAGAGTTCCAAACCTCTATTTCTGGTTGGTTCCCCTGGCACCCAGCCCTCATCCCTAGGTGATCCAAAAGTCATGTCATTGACGTAACAAAAAACACCTTTGTCACTCTCATCACAGGAAGTTCCAAGGGTTTTGGGACCTCTGTGCCAGGAATGGGAGGAAGACCAAATATTTATTTCCTGTTATAAATCACAACTTCACACGAGTTTACCCATGTTTTGTTCTCTCTTTCTGCTCTGCTGTCCTTGGCATGTTGGCTTTTCATCCTCAGGCTTGTTACCTCATGGTTTGCAAGATGGCTGCCTCAGGACCAAATGTCATGTTTTCACTCGACCACATTTAAGGCAAGACAAAAGGTCTCCTTTTATGGGAGAAAAATCTTCCCCAGAAGTTACCCTGCAGACTTCGCTCTGTCTCACTGACCAGAACTGGGTCATATGACCATTCCCACCTGCAAGGGAAGTTAAGAAAGTGAGTATCTGACAAAGAAGCGTGGGATCCATTGATTGAGATCAGTGGTTCTCAGAGTGTGGTTCCCTGGACCATCAGCATCAGCATCCTCTGGGAACTTGTTAGAAATGAAAATTCTTAGCAAAGTTGGGGCCCAGCAATCTGTATCCACCAAGCTTTCTAGGTGATTCTGATGCCTACTAAAGTTTCAGAACCCTTGGCACAGAGGCATCATGCTTCATCTCCTGGGACTGACTGCCTTGCTGTGATGAACAAAGTGAGAATTCTGGTAGCGAAGAAGAAGTTGGGGTAAGAAAATGACAGCATCTGGCTCAGGTGTCAGTCAACCACTAGCCACATAGACCACTCATAGGGAAGCTATCTTCCCTCCTTGTCATAAATCAGATGGTCTTTAGGATCCTCGAATCAGTCAGGGAAGACTAACTTATGCTGGGATATCAAACAATCCTAGCTTTCTCTCACCCTTGCTAGAGCTGCTGTAGCTCTGGGAACCCTCCAGGCTGAGGAAGAGAGATGGGCATTGCACCCTGGCCCTTGGGAGCTTTGGCCTTTTGACCCATTGGCTCCAAGCAGTCACTCAGCCCCAGCCAACCACAGAGGAGCCTGTAATGCATTGTTTGATCTCCAGGAAGTGATTTCCAGGATGGGAGAATGCATGAATACTAGTAATGTCTGGGATTATCTGTGGGCCCCTCTCTAGGGTGATAAGCATCCTTAAGATTTAGATGCAGTTGGCCTGTGGGTCACTCTTTGGGGAACACTACTCTGTGAGGCTCATTTCACATCTGAGAAATGGAGCCCATGATTTGTTAAGTGATGTGCCTAGAGCCACACAGTGAGTTGGGGGTATAGCCTGGGCTTGAACTAGTAATCCTGCCTTAACTTCTTCCAGGTGGGCCAAAAATATTTACTGTCAAATATAGTCATCCATGCTATGAAACCAATGTAGAGTATAAGATTTTTGAACATGTCATGCTAATTCATGGAGATGATTTTTAAGTATTTATATAATATAAAGTAAAAATAATTCTTCCTGGGTTTCCAGAGGGAGATCTGGGCAGTTAGCAAGGAAGGATAATTATTTGGGATTAAATAAGGCTGACCTTGAGTTCTGAAGCAGATTTTAGAATCGGGAAGCTTCTCTCTCCCCTGCTGTGGGCTGGCTCTTTTGCTGGGCCAGGCCAACTGTCACCTGATAGGATGCTGTGGGAAAACTGGTCAGATTTTGGACTGGATCCCATTTTCTTGCTCTGAACTGGACTTTGGCCTCTGGTGGGAAGCAGCTGCCTCTTTTTATCTGGCTGAACAGCAAGCTTTTTGATATTACCTTTAAAACCAAGAGATACTCTTTTTCTTCTTTGGCTTTTTCCCCAAGGATATAGCAGAAATGTTTGCCTTTGGAGCCAAAGGAGCCTCGGTGTAGCTGACAAATAATAACACATTACCCTAGGCTTATCAGCACCATGATTGCTTGGGGACTTTAGAGGCTGTAAGATGCTTAAGATGGGGTGATGACAGTCTCAATCTGCTAATGATGCTCAATTAGTGGGCTAATCAATCACTTTGGATTGCAGGCAGGGGCTGGTGGTGGAAGCCAAGGACTGCTGGGGGCCTCTGCCATGTGCCTGGCATGAGTCAGGGAAAGACTTTGAAGGGCACACAGGGCAAGAGCCTTCTGTTACTCACAAGTGGTCTTTGAGCTAGCCCCCAATTGCAATGGGGTTAACTTAAAAGAATTATTATTTCAAGAAGATAAAATCTCTGGTTTTGGAAATTGGGTGTTCTTTCAGCTCTGTGAGTTCAACTACAATTTTCCAATTCTATTAGTAGTGGAAATATTCACTGGGTGTTAGTTATGTACACCAGCCTAAAGAGGTGGGGGGGGTGAATGGAGGGTGAGAGTGCCCAAGTGTGTGTGTGTGTGTGTGTGTGTGTGTGTACACATATGTGTATGTGTCTGTTCGCCTCTGTATCACACTTAAACTAGTGCATACTGTATTAAAAATTCCTGAGACATAACTCAGTAGAATTCATGTTACATGGATAATGTGGGTTTATTTTGATCAGAGAGAAGATCCTGGTTTTAATGTGAACAATGGCTTTCTTACTTTCCCTCAGGGACTGGTAGGAGTTGGGAAGTAATTGTTTTAAAAACAATTTCAAAGAAGGTAAATATTTTTAAAGCTTTATCAAACAGGCCTCTTCTAAATTAAAGATATTGTCTGGCTTTAATGATAGGCACGGATGTGAACTTGAGATACACTCCGTAAATGACAGTCACAAACCAGACTGCACAACATCTGTTTTTTTTTTTAAGATTTTATTTATTTCTTTGAGAGAGAGAGAGAGAGAGAGCATGAGTGCGAGGAGGGGCAGACGGAGAGGGACAAGCAGACTCCCCGCTGAGCAGGGAGCCCGATGCGGGACTAGATCCCAGGACCCTGGGATAATGACCTGAGCTGAAGGCAGACGCTTAACAGACTGAGACACCGGGTGCCCGAATGCACAACATCTGTTAATGACAGCCTGTGACAAAGTCTGTCTGTGAATGGCCTCAGGCCTCTTTTCTCTCTTCCTGTAATGCAGGATTGCTCCGCCTTGGCATTATTGACATTTGGGTCTGGATTTTTGTCATGGGCCCTGCCCTGTGCATTGCAGGTTGTTAGGTGGCATCTCTGGCCTCCACTCACTAGATGCCGGGATCACCAGTGCCCCCAGTTATGACAGCCAAAAACATCTCCAGACATGAGTAAATGTCCCCTCGGGGAAAAATTGCCCCAGTTAAGCCACAGCTCTGCTGAAATGTAAGGAGTCATTTGCCTCACAGGTCCCAAGGTGCATGCCCTGCTCCCCTGGCTGAATCTTCCACTCCAATTCCCGTGTCCCTACCAATGGTCTTAACTGCTTCTTCATCACTGGTGCCATTCCTGCCCAGAGCTCTCCTCTCTCACATGGGTCCTTAAAGGGGGCTTTAGAAATTTTATGCTCTGGGAATAAGATCGTTTGTCACCAATGAGGGAAAATGCCTGGGGGCCTGACCCTGGTGATATACATAAAGATAGATTGTTCTGGCTGGTATTTTTTAGCAGGCAAACCATCTCAGCACTGACGTTAGCTGACCCCGTAGGCACTAATCGAATGTATGATTCTTCCTCTTTTTTGGCTCATCTTTGGTAGCTAGCTGGTGTTTGTTTGGTGTTTCCTGTGGTCATCTGAGATCGCTGTAGGCTTTAATGGCTTTTAAAATGCATTTTCACTCTTCTCTATAAACATTAAAGCTCTCAAACTCTACCTAAAATATAACTACATAAAATACTGCCCACATAGTGTTTAACATTTAAACATCTTTAAGGTAGCTTTAACAAAGTCTCTCTCTTTGGCAAGCTCTGATTGCAGGTAACTTCTGGGAATCTGATTGTTACTTAGCGGTGGCAAATCACTGGTGAACTTCCATGTGTAGGGACCTTTGTAGGGAGCCTCGGATTTGTCGTTTGTCCAGTAGGATTTGGTTGAGGTCAGACTGAGTATTATGGCACCTCAGTATCGAAGTCTAGAAATGAGTTGCTAGTCTGCTTTGAGAGTTTACTGTATGCCACACCCTGGGTTGTGGGCTTTACCCAGAGTAAGCTGCACCATGGCCTTCCCAGAGAGACCATTATCATCTTCTTCATCTTATGAGATTAGAATGCTTAGACTGCTCTGTGACCTGCCCAAGGTCACCCAGCCCCTAAATGACAGGGCAAGGATTCCAAAGCAGGTGACTGTGCCCCAGTGTGCATGCATAGACTTAGTCTTTCCACTATCCTTCCTTCCTTCTTTCTCTTGTAAGGTAGGGTTGGCATCTGATGGTTCAGAAGAGTCTCCATGAGAGATTTAGGAAGACCTTGGGACAGATAAAGATGGCTAGTTGAGGAAAAGTTAGTATTGGCCCTGTCTTTCTCTTCTTTCCAAGGGTTTTAGTTTTCTGGTTTCATATGATCTGTTGATACTTTGAATTGGACAATAGTCTCTGATTCTTCTCTGGGTGCCTGCGCTATCTCCCTAATATTGCTTCATTATTAGCAAACATCTCTTTCATGGTGTTCCCTTCTCTTGGAGATTCATCTAGGATTTAAATGTCCCCTTGCTCATGTCTGCTATGTGACTAATGCAAATATGGGCTCATAAAAGAAGGGCTTATGCTGTCCCAATGGCTGTCTCATCCTGGGCCACCTGCAAAAAAGAGGTTGCCAGGCAGATGATATTCTCCACTCTCTGTTCTTGCACCTCATCACCCCACTTCGTACAACTCAGTCACTGTGGATAATAAGAGGAACACACAGCTCGAACCCTAGCCTCTTGGTGATCTGAGCCAGCTGGTCTTGCCCTCCAAATCATTCTCCTTTTCCTGGATTCATTAGATTGTCTCAATGCTCTGCCTCAATGGTTTTGAGAATCTGGAGTTTGAGGGAACCAACACCAAGACCTTAATTCCCAGTGGGGATTTAACTCAGCCCTAAACTCAAGAAATGTGGAAGAAGCTCTTCTTCAACGGTCATCCAACAGAGGAAAGTCTGTGGAAGATTTTTATGGATATTCATTATCTGTTAGGACTTGCCCACTGAACACATGATCACTTTCTAGAATTTCAGGGGTTTTATTGAGACATTTTATATCTTTGCATGTTGGGGCCACCACAAGTCCAGCGATGCTTTAGATCTACCACATGGTAACCTGGTAACCTGTTTCTAAAACTTCCAGGTACTGGGCGCCTGGGTGGCTCAGTTGGTTAAGTGTCTCCCTTCGTCTCAGGTTGTGATCCCAGTGTCCTGGGATTGAATCCCGCATCGGGCTCCCTGCTTATTGGGGAGTCTGCTTCTCCCTCTACACCCA